CAAAGCACAAGAGGGCAAGACGAGAAACAATGGATGGAAGCTAATCAATGAGAGAAGCAACCTGGAATTAAGAAGAAACTTCCTAACAGTGAGGACAATTAACCAGTAGAACAGGTTGCCTTCAGAGGTTGTGGGTACTTCATCACTGGAGGTTTTAAAGAAGAGACTGAACAGTCACTTGTCTGAAATGGTATAGGATTTCCTGCAAGGTCTCTTCCAGCTCTATTCTAATTCTGATCTTCAATTGGGTCGAAGATCTATAAAGGACCTTGCCTTCAGAATTGATTTTTTGAAAAAGTTCCTCTGCTCTCCTTCAGAGAAATGCATTTTCTTCCATTCCCCAAGAGTAATGCTTACAGCAGTGTTTCTCAAACTTGGCAGTTTTAAGATGTGTGGACTTCAACTTCCAGAATCCCCTATGCTGGCTGGGGAATTCTGGGAGTTGAAATCCACACATCTTGAAGTTGCAAAGGTTGAAAAACAGTGGTCTAGAGCAGGGATGTCAAACTCGTGGTCCATTGGCTGGATGCGTCACATGCTGGCTCCGCCCCTGCCCAATTTAGCAAAGGGGGAAAAAGTCCCGATACGTCACGTGATGACACCGTGATAGCATGAGTTTGACACCCCTCGTCTAGAGGTTCTTTCCTGTATAGTTTTCCTCTTTATCCCCACTTCACCAATCTTGTTTTCTTTTTTTCCTAATTATAAACCATTTCTTTAGTTTTGTATTTTGTGAGAAATGGACACTCTAATTGTTGTTTCTGCTATTTGTGTAATTCATCACAACTCATTTTTTTCTCCTTCTTATTGTGATCTCTCCTTCCTCATGTAGCCCATACTAGGAACACCACAAATGCCCTTCTCTAATTTCTTGTTTTATTTCCATCAGCATTTTGCTGGCATGCTTCCTTTGAAGGCTACATTAATTGAAGCAATTTATTTCTACACAGTTGTACATGACATATTTATAACTCTCCAGGTCTAATTTTAACAACTTGTGCTTACCTCTGCTTGAATGCTGCTTCTAATCAGTGTATATTGGATGTCACCTAAGACAAGCTGAGGTGACCTCCCCAAGTACTCATGAGCCAACCCCAATTATCTTGCTTTGAGATGCCAGCAGGATTATGATGGCACGCAACATTGTCTTCCTTGCAGCAAGAATTAAAACAAGCTCATGATCCACAATGTTAACCTCACCCTGCTTATCATTTGTGTTGGCCCAATAAATCTCTTTTGTTCCTTTGGTTTAATTTTTTTTTGCTCGTGCCAGAGATTGTAAAAAAAAAAAAAAAATGGGGTTTGATATAGTGATGTTCCTCACAGTGCACCCCATGTCTTTGATTCTCTTGCTTTGACACGTTGGGTCACAAGTTTTATTAGCCTGATATAAGGGAGTAGCTTATCCTCCATGCTCCTCCTAGTATAATTGAATTCTAAGTGCCTAGAAGTCCAAGATAAAATTTATTTCCTTGCCTACTTTTGGAAATTAAATATAAGCTTGGAAAATCAATATAGGAGAGGTAGGTTCAAAAATAAAATTGTTTTGAGAATGAAGAAAATTGTAGTACAGGTGGCCCTCAACCTATGACCACAATTGAGCCCAAAATTCATGTGAGACGTTTGTCAAGTAAAATTCACTCCATTTTATGACTTTTCTTGCCACATTTGTTAAGTGAATCATTGTGGTTGTTAAGTTATTAAGTGAACCTGGCTTCCCTATTGACTTGGTTGTAATCCAAGAACTAACTGTATTCTTTTATTATCAGTGTGGATTTGTTGGTATCTCTTTATCTCATGTAATTTCTTTTTAAACTATGATTCTGTTTCTGAAGGACCAATTAAATACAACATTCATTTACCTAACCAACCTAAAAAAATGAGTTTTAGACCCTGTTACATTAGATTCCTCTTAATGTGTTTCAGAATCTTTCCTATTCTGAAGATATTTAGATGAAGCTCTGGTATTACATATCATTCAGTCTTGAAGGAGACTAATTGTTTGCCTTCAATTTTCTAGCCCTGATTTTTCTTCTTACTGTGAATGTATTAATATATTTAATTTGGAAGGATAATGCTACCTCAAAATATATTCTCTGACCCCAAATTAAATATATTTAAAGATGATTGTGTCATCTTAACACAAGATGGGAAATTAATGCTTCAGCCACAGTGTGTAATTTTTTTCTTCATTTCTTCAGGTGGCTATTAACTGTTAGCCTTTTGTTGTTTTACTTTTGCTATTTTTCATATATTTTTCTTTCATTTGGAATAACTAAGCCATTGTTCTCCTCCATGTATGGATAGTTACCCTTCCTTTATAATATAATAGAGTTATATTCAAATATGCTTCAAAATCTTCAAAATGCTGAAATTCTATTTATAAGAATTAAAGGTCAGAGGTAGGGTAGGGTAGGGTAGGGTAGGGTAGGGTAGGGTAGGGTAGGGTAGGGAGGAAGGAAGGAAGGAAGGAAGGAAGGAAGGAAGGAAGGAAGGAAGGAAAAGATTAAATCAGNAGAGAGAGAGAGAGAGAGATTGGTGAATCAGTATTTTATAAGGAAAGTTGTAACAACCTGTTACAATTAAACTTCCTTTCTTTACAAAGATTAGGATAGTTTATATATATACAAGTGGAAATAAAATGTCGCTAGTTTTAAGATTCTTGCTAGTTTTATTATTCTGAATTTTTTTAAAGCTGAATGCAATAATGAATCCTAACATTTGAACTGGTGTATTTTCAAAACCAGAGAGCTGAAGATGGGGTAGAAAAGTCAGCAAAGTTCAGAACATGAAGGATTGGTTTTGAGATGTTTCTCTCCACCATCAGCCCAGCATCAGTGAATATTATCATGAAGGATGATATTATGTTGTGTTCAGATAGCTCAGATAACTTATTGCTCCAGAATATAATCTTATTCCAAAGATTTTTACTGGCAAAAGAAACCTATATTAGTGGGCATTAAGGATTTTAGTTTTTATAAATTACATTCTTTGAAAATCTCATTTTCGAACTAGAAACTGAAATGATGTTAGAGGGCTCTGAGAATTCATTCTTCCTGAACAATACTCACCGATCAGTCTGAAAAGTAATTACTCCAAATTTAATTATTATACAAGCTCTTTGTCAGATAGGTAGGGCATGCCCAAAAGAGAGGTTGAAAGGGTGCGTGAAAGTGTACTCATTGACTGTGGCAGCAGAGGAGGGAAATTACACATGTTTTAATTGAGCTCTTCTTAGTCCTGGGATAGGTCAATTAAAGGATGCGACAAGGTGGGCCTTGTCTGCAAATCTCTGTGCTGGCAGTGTAATAAAACCCATCACTGAAGCATCAAATTATAAAGTAGAATATTATCTCTGATGCGTTGCTGAGAAAGAGCTGGAACCTCCTTACAATTCTGTACATTTTCTGCCTCAATGGAAGCAAACGGGGTAAAAAGTGGCCTCTTCTTCAATAGAGAATACTTGTAGCTCAGGCTTAAAAATGTGGGGTCCTTGGTTGTTTTCTTACAGATGTTTCATTAGCCAAACTGAGTAACATCATTTGTGCATTTCCAGCACTTAGGAGGTTACCTAGTTTGGATAATGAAATGTGTGCAAGAAAACAATCAAGCAGGATGCTACAGTTCTCCTCCTCCTCTTCCTCCTCCTCCTCTACCACCACCATCACCACCACCACTACATTACAAACAAAGTTGTTGAGACTTTGGGAAACAGTGCAAAGAAGAGAAAGTAAGATGATTAAAGGCCTTGGGACTAAAAGATATGAAGAATGGTTGCAGGATTTGGGTTTGGCTAGTCTAGAGAAAAGAAGGACTAGGGATGACATGATACTGGCATTCCAGAACTTGAGAGGCTGCCACAAAGAAGAAGGGGTACATTTATTTTCCAAAGCACAAGAGGGCAAGACGAGAAACAATGGATGGAAGCTAATCAACGAGAGAAGCAACCTGGAATTAAGAAGAAACTTCCTAACAGTGAGGACAATTAACCAGTAGAA